CTCGTCCACCGATTCGAAAACTGATGAAAATAATGTTAATAGATTAGTTAGACATGAACGTCCGCTTGTGAAGCCATGCTGGGAATCATTGATCAATTGGTGCTTTTCCAGGTGATTTCGAATAGAATTTGAAATGATTGTGTCCAGTAATTTGCCTACTATTGATGTTAGACTGATTGGGCGGTAGTTAGAGGATAGTGATCTATCCCCCTTCTTGAAGATCGGTATTACATTCGCTATCCTCCAGGATTCTGGTACTACACCTGTTTTTAAGGACATGTTAAACAACTTTGCTAAGGGCATACTAAGCTCTTCCTTACATTCCTTTAATACTCTGGCAAATATCTCATCGGGACCAGGTGACTTATTAGGCTTTAGTTTGTCTTTTTGCTTACTAACTTCGTTACTAGTCACTACTATCTCGCTTAATTTGTTTTCTTCACTATCTCTGAATAGAATCGGTGCCTCGGGTATCATGTTTAAATTTTCGGTGGTGAAAACTGTTGATAAATATTTATTCAAATTATTGCTCATTTCTCTGTCGTTATCAGTGAGCTCGCCGGTATCTGACTGTATTGGTCCAATCTTTTCTCGTGTTTTAGTTTGATACATTTGGTTGAATCTTTTGGGGTTTGTCTTCGCCTCCCTTGCTATCCTTACCTCATTATTCCTCTTGGCTTTCCTTATCTCGGTTTTAACCCTACTCGCCAATACCTTATAATAATCCCGGAGGTAAATTTCGCCACGATTTATCCTTCTACATATAGCCTTCCTTTGGCCAATGATGTTCTTTAAATAATTATTTATCCGTTTAGGGTCATTGTTGTCTGATCTGAGTTTTTTGTATGGTATGTTCTGCCTTTTTGCATTAAGTAACTCATTATTTAAATTGTCGTGGAACTCGGCAATCTCAGATCTCGTTGTCAGAAGGTGTCATCTGTCAGGTTCACGGCCAAGCGCGACACCCCCTCTCTCAGCTGCCTCTTTAAACTGTCAAAGTTTGCCCTTCTGAAATATGGTACTTTAGTGGAATTTTCCTTACGTCTGCCCTGAAAACACTGGTCAACATAAAAAAAAAATTCTCATGGTTCTGGATCAAAACAGTCTGATTCTAGTGTAATTGTATGTGCTGAACTCAATTATGACATTTGTATAGCTGTATCAGGCTCAGTTTTCCAGAACCAGCTATTCATACAGTAATTTATATGCTCATTGGCTCCACTTATGCAATTATTTTGTCCTGATTTGTGCTTTTTTGTTTGTTTCAGTTTGCTGATTCATGATATTGCATATCTACACCTGCATGATTTGTAATTACTCTGAAATTAACAAAACATGGAACGTCGCAAGTGTGTGAACGGTGCTGACAGTTTTTGCTACATATGTGATGCCTTCACTCCTGGCAGCCTCAAGAAACCAATCACAAAAGCTGTTCGACTGAACTACAAAAGTTACTTCAAATGTCATTTGGGTGACCAAGACAAGAAATGGGCACCTCATGTAGCCTGTAAGTCTTGTGTTAACCACCTGAGCAAGTGGATGTGTGGTAAACGAAGTTCAGGAATGCCGTTTGCTGTACCAATGATATGGCGTGAACCTAAAGACCACAGTAGTGACTGCTACTTCTGTCTCACAAATATTAAGGGAATAAAAATCAAGACACGAGGCAAGGTACAGTACCCCAATATTGCTTCTGCAATCCGACCAGTACCGCACAGTGCTGAACTTCCAGTCCCAAATCCACCGACTGAACAAGAATTGAGTGATTCCGATTCTACCTCTACCTCAATGGAAAACGACTACCAGGATGACTCTGAAAATACCAGGCCTAAACTATTTACTCAAGAAGCGCTTCATGATCTCATCAGGGACCTAAACTTGACAAAAGAAAAGGCTGAAGTTTTGGGATCCAGACTAAAGCAGCATAACCTGCTAGAAGATGGAGTGCATATCACTACAGCGCGTTACCGACATAGACAGCTGTCTGCATTTTTCAAGATGGCAAACAACCTTTGTTATTGCGAGGACGCAGTATCTCTCATGCAACAACTCTGCAAGTCTGAAACATACAAGACAGAGGATTGGAGGCTGTTTATAGACTCAGGAAAAGACTCTCTGAAAGCTGTTCTTTTACACAGTGGCAATCGGCTTCCATCTGTCCCAATAGCACACGCAACAAAAATGACTGAGAGCTATGAAACAATGAAAATTCTGTTGGCCGCTATAGAGTATGAGAAACACCAGTGGAAGATATGTTGCAATCTCAAAGTCATCAGTTTACTACTGGGCCTTCAGAGTGGCTACACAAAGCACATGTGCTTTTTGTGCTTGTGGAACAGCAGAGCTGATGCAGAGCACTATGTGAGAAAGGATTGGCCGACAAGACCAAGAGATGCGCCTGGAAGGTTTAACTGTGCTCACAATCCGCTTGTAGATCCAGAAAAGATATTTTTGTCTCCACTGCATCTAAAGCTCGGTTTGGCTAAAAATTTCATCAAAGCTATGGATCAATTCGGTGCTGGGACTCTATACTTATCTCAGAAACTAGGTGGAGTGGTTTCCGAAGCCAAGTTGAAAGCAGGTGTCTTGAATGGACCACAAATTCGTATACTAGTTAGTGATAGCGAATTCACCAAAACATTGAACCCACTGGAGAAAAAAGCATGGAAATCATTTGTCAATGTGTCAAAGAATTTTCTTGGAAACTATCGTGCTGACAACTACAAAGAAATCGTAACAACCATGCTTCAGAATTATCATGCATTGGGAGCAAGGATGTCCTTGAAATTGCATTTTTTCCACTCTCATATTGAATTTTTCCCAGGTAACCTTGGAGACGTTAGTGATGAACACGGCGAAAGATTTCATCAAGATATCGCCATAATGGAGAGCAGATATCAGGGACAATTCAGTCCTAACATGATGGGCGACTATTGCTGGACACTGCAACGAGAAGAGAGCAAGCTGTACAAGAGAAAGAGTAAAGTTCAGAAGCACTTTTAGAACTTCATATTTTGTCATTATAAAGGATTTGAACTTATGTTTTTTGGTAAAATTTTTTATGAGCTTATCTGTGATAGGTTTAAAATTGTATCTTGCATGACGCGATAATGTTACTATATTTACTATTTTTTTTATTCTTTAAGAAAGTAGGTCTGATGGTGGAATGAAACATCCAATTAATATTCATTAATATGAAATTAGTCATGAAAGCACAGTCACATGAGATAATCTCATCTTTTGCACGACACGTGATGGAATTATTAAATATTTGTACCTATTGATTTTTTTATAAAACCTGGTCTGATAGAACAAAACAAATATCAGATTCGAATTCAGCAATATGAAATTAGTTGTGTGAGCATGATCTCATATGTGAACCATTTTGGCTGTTGACCAGTGAAATCTAACTGGAATCTAATTTCTTTGTGATCTCTGTTTACAAGTTCATTCCCTATCTCGACATTGCTAATGAGGTTTTCTCTGTTAGACAGAACTAAATCGAGTATATTATTACCCCGGGTGGGTTCGGTTATATGTTGACTTAGGAAACAGTCCTGGATCGTCTCGAGAAAATCCTCTGATTCTGAGTTACCCGTAAGGTCAGTCCAATCTATTTGGCCAAGGTTAAAGTCGCCTACTATACAGACTTTGTTGTGTATGGAAGCCCTGCGCATTTCATCCCGGATAAGTCGCTCATTGACTCTATCAAGATTGGGAGGTCTATATATTACTCCTGTGATTAATTTTTCCCTACCGTCGATTAATTCTATCCAAATTGTTTCTGTATTCCGCTCAGTTTTTATATCCTTATTTATTTCACACTTCAGATTATCCCTAACATAGATTGCTACTCCGCCTCCTTTCCTGGTCTGCTTATCGGTATGGAACAATTTGTAACCCGCAATTTGGTATTTGGTGTTCTTATGTACCCTCTGACCTGACTACCGACTGCTGCTGTGCTTTTTGAAGATTAGCAGGGTCATTACCTAATACCTGACCATTGTAAATTTGATCTCACCCTCCTCTCTCTCTCTCTCTCTCTCTCTCTCTCTCTCTCTCTCTCTCTCTATATATATATATATATATATATATATATATATATATATATATATATATATATATATATATATATATATATATATATATATATATATATATATATATATATATATATATACCTTGTTATGTACTTCTCTTTAGTCTGTACTCACCCCTGAAGATGTGAATTACACGAAAGCGCTTGGGAACTGCGTGTTTTCTTTTTCCTTGTGGTTATCAGCATATACCTGGATCACGCGCACCTACAGTGATTTACTTGCATGTATAAATATATATATATATATATATATATATATATATATATATATATATATATATATATATATATATATATATATATATATATATATATATATATACAAGACATCTTCAGAGGCAACTGAATTACAAGGACCGAGAGAGGCTTATGTACACAGAGTGACCTTACTAAACATGAGGTCAGGTCATAAACATGACATCCATTAATCAGCACACCAACACCACCACACACATATATTTGACCTGACTTAACATGACTAGTTACGTCGCCCTTTCTTTTAAGCTCCTTTGTGTGTGTGGTGGTGTTGGTGTGCGGATTAGTGGATGTCATATTTATAAGAACATAAGAAAATAAGGAGTCTGCAATAGGCCGGTTGGCCTGTGCATGGCAGTTCCTGTCGAGAGTTACTACCACTCTCTATCATCCATGAAAATATCTAGCCTCCTCTTGAAACTTTCCAGAGTTCCCGCACTTACTACAAAGTTGCTAAGCTTGTTCCACTCGTCCACCTGACCTCATGTTTAGTACTTAAGCCTCTCTCGGTCCTTGTAATTCAATTGCCTCTGAATATGTCTTAAATAAAGATGAAAGCTAAGGTGCTCCATTGTTTCCCCTTTTCCTGCGTGATTTTTTCAAGACTTATCTTATCCACGTTTTTTTATATAAAATGCCTGGGTACCTCGGTCATAGTAGATATTTGTGAGGGGATCTTCCATGAAACCGTGGAAGGTAGCCATGATGTAGCAGTTGTAAGCTGGGCTGGTGCCGTTGATGTTGAAAGCTCGGTAATACTTCTCTTGTGTGACGCAGGTGGAGGCACACTGCATCAACGTCCTCGTCTGCCACACACACAACCACTTGTCAGATATATGTTGTCTTTGATCAGCTACAGGCAAATATATAAGAACATAAGAAGAACATAAGAAAATAAGGAGTCTGCAATAGGCCGGTTGACATGTGCATGGCAGCTCCAGTCGAGAGTTACTACCACTTTATCATCCATGAATCTATCCAGTCTCCTTTTGAAACTCTCCAGCGTTCCAGCACTTACTACAAAGTTGCGAAGCTTGTTCCACCACTCGTCCACCACCCTATTTGTGAACCAGTTACCTTCCTATCTCCCTCCTAAACCGAAAATTATCCAACTTAAATCCGTTACTCCGAGTCCTATCCTGCTCGGGATATTATAAGAACTTTATCTATATCCCCTTTATTGATTCCTTTCACCCACTTAAATACTTCTATCATAACTCCCCGCACTCTTCGTCTTTCTAGGGAATGCAAGTTTAGTTTCTTTAACCTATCCTGATACGGAAGGTTTCAAGTCCCGGCATCATTTTCGTCATTCTTCGCTGCACCGACTCTAGTGAATTGATATCCTTTCTATAATAAGGGCACCAGAACTGAACCGCATAATCGAGGTGCGGCCTAACTAGCGCAAGATATAGTTGCAATAAGACCTCTGCACTCTTATTACTTATACTTCTAGATATAAAACCCAATACTCTGTTTGCCTTATTTCGAACATTAACGCACTGTTTTCTAGGCCGTAGGTCCGGGCTTACAAGTACCCCTAGGTTGATGTTGTTAAGGCTGTATACATTGACAGTATTTGTTCTTCCAATATGAAGTACGCTGCACTTGCTGGTGTTGAATTTTATTTGCCATTTTTCAGACCACCCCTGCAGTTTATTTAGATCCTCCTGTAATGCATTTGCATCCTGCCCTGAATTAATCTGCCGCCCTATTTTGGTGTCATCCGCAAACTTGCTTGTCACTGCTGATCCCAGTATCTAGATCATTTATGTAGATTATGAACAAGAGTGGGCCTAGTACTGACCCCTGGAGACCCCCACTGGTTACACGGCCCCACTCAGATTTAACACCATCTACGCTGACCCTCTGCGTTCTATCGGTGAGCCATGATTTTATCCAATTTAAAACTTTCCCCTCGATACCATGAGCCTTAATTTTTCTCAGAAGCCTCTGATGCGGTACTCTGTCAAATGCTTTGCTAAAGTCTAAGTAAATAACATCGTAATTTTCGTCATTATCTACTACCTCGAAGACTTTCCTAAAAAACGTCACCAGATTTGTTATACAAGATTTTCCCTTTGTAAACCCATGTTGAGAGTCGTAGATTAATTTGCTTTTCTTTAGATGCGATCGGATGCTATCTGCTTTAATTGATTCAAGAAATTTCCCCACTACTGATGTCAAACTGATCGGCCGGTAATTTGACGCTGATGCTCTGTCTCCTTTTTTGAATATGGGTACTACATTTGCCTGTTTCCACAAGTCTGGCACAACTCCGGTGGCTAATGATTTTGTAAATAAATTTACGTGGGGTCCGCTAATCTGTTCCCTACACTCTTTCAAGACTCGAGGGAAAATTTCATCCGGCCCTGGGGATTTTGTCTTCTTTAGTTTATTTATCCTCTTAAGAACATCCTCTTTTCTGATAGTGATATTATTTAATTTCTCTTCTTCCTTTCCCCTAAATATCAGTTCCACCACTGGAATTTCCTCGCGAATTTCTTCTGTGAAAACTGATAAGAAGTAGTTGTTCAATGCTTTGCTTATTTCTTCACTCCCCTTTATTGATTCCTTTCACCCACTTAAATACTTCTATCATATCTCCCCGCACTCTTCGTCTTTCTAGGGAATGCAAGTTAAGTTTCTTTAACCTATCCTGATATGGAAGGTTTCTAAGTCCCGGAATCATTTTTGTCATTCTTCGCTGCACCGACTCTAGTGAATTTATATCCATTCTATAATAGGGGCACCAGAACTGAACCGCATAATCGAGGTGCGGCCTAACTAGCGCAAGATATAGTTGCAATTAGACCTCTGCACTCTTGTTACTTACACTTCTAGATATAAAACCCAATACTCTGTTTGCCTTATAGGCTGAGCTGCTTCTTTCCCAAGACTTGGAGGCCTGTAAATCAATCCCATAATTATTTTTTCTCTTTCTTCCGTGATTTCTACCCATACAGACTCGGTTCCTATTTCACCCTTTATTGAATTATTAATACAACATTTTAATGTATCCTTGACGAAGAGTGCGACCCCTCCCCCCTTCCTACCTTCCCTGTCCTTGTGAAAAAGGTTGTACCCTTCTATGTGGTACTCTGATAAATAAATTTTGCTCTCCAGATTCATCCAAGTTTCGGTGATTGCTATGACGTCTACATTCTCGGTACATACAACCGCTCTCAGCAAGTCTATTTTATTTCTAACGTTCCTACTGTTTGTATAGTATACATTTAAACCTACCCTTCCCTGGTCCTGTTTTACCCCTTGTCCTGAGTAACTAATTTTACTTCCCAGGACCTGCTTGTTTTTTGACTCCCACTTTCCCCGACCTCTCTCTACTGGCGAAACCCCCCCTTTGGAGTGACAATTTCACGCTCCAGGGATGCAGACAACGTCTTTACCCCCGCACGAGACAAGTGTACTCCGTCACGACTGTACAGGTAGTCGTTGCCATAGAATCGTTGCCAGCTATCAATGAATGCCCAACCATTGTTTGCACAATGTTTTTCCAGTCGGCAATTTATAGCAATTGCCCTGGACAGCCATTCACGACCAACCCCTCTTCTAGGCAAGACACCACATACTATCGGGATCCCTCCCCTATCTCTAATCTTCCCCAGCGCCTCCCTATACCTCTTGAAAAGTTCCTCACTCCTAACCTTACCTATGTCGTTTCCTCCCACACTAAGACACACTACTGGATTGGTACCCTCCCCTGACAAAACCCTGTCTATCCTCTCAGCTACATGCCCTATCCCAGCCCCAGGAAAACACACCCTAGTCCTACGTTTCCTATCTCTTTCACAAAAAGTCCTATCTAAAAACCTCACCTGGCTGTCCCCAACTACCACGACCTTACCTGTGGGCAGGGTTTGTACAACTGCCCTTTCCTCTCCTGATCCATACCGTCCTGCCTCTTCTCTTCCTCGCCAGCTTCCTGCAGCACCTGGTAAGGGTTACTACACTCCACACCCTGGTCAGCTTTCCTGAGCCTGACCCTAGTCCCCTTGGAGACAACCACTCTCCACGCCTGCTCCTCCTTCGCAGGTGTCCTGCTAGGCAGGACACCTACCTGAAGGAGTTCTGTCCTGAGGGCTTCATTTTCCCCCTTTAGAGTGTCAACCTCACTCCTCAACTGCCCCAGCTGCCTTAACAGAGTGGCCAGGAGGTCGTCTTTCCCCACACTCCTCTCCTCTTCCCCCAAGACACGAGGGTCGACTCACAGAACGGGGGCTGGCTATACCTTCTTCTGAAAGGGAAAGCCTGCTGCAGAGAGGAGTCCCACTGAATCACTCACGTCATGCCTTTTTCATAAGTGCATACACCCCAACACTGGATGCAGAGGACGACATCAAAGAGGCCTTTACGCCGACCTTGACAGAGTGCTAACCTTTTTCCCCAGAGAAGATAAAGTTCTGCTTCTAAATGACTTTAATGCCAGAGTGGCAGAGATGCTGACATTTAGCAGGGAATCATAGGGAGAAATGGACTAAGCAAGTGTAATCCCAACGGCCTACTCCTCCTCAGTAAGTGTGCCCCACACAACCTCAATATCACAAATACCTTGTTTAGGCAGGCCGACAAGTTCAAGGGTTCGTGGTAATACCCACGATCCAAACACTGGCATCTCATTGATTACATAATTGTCAGAGAAAAGAGATCTCCGAGATGTCCTCATCACCCAAGACATGCGTGGTTCAGACCACTGCGACACTGATCATCGGTGCGTCTGAGCCAAGCTCTCAGGCAACAAGCCTGCAAAAGAGGTTTTAACACTAAGTGTCTACAGGATCCAGCTGAAGCACATGCTTTCAGAAAGTAGCTCAAACATGGGATTATAAACAACCCAAAAACAAACAACCTAACTCCCAGTGCCGAATGGGGTATTCTCGAAACTGAAACGACAAAAACCTGCAGAGAGACCATCGGCCACATCGAAAGAATACACCAGGACTGGTTGGATGAAAATGTCCCGGAAATCAATGTACTCGTCGATGATAAACGTGGTGCTTTAACTGACTGGTAGAACAACCCAGAGTCTTGGATCGAACCTGATACCCTCTGCAAGAAGAAAGAGGTTTCCCAGCGCGAACTTCACAATCTAAAGAACGAATGGTTGAAAAATAAAGCATGTGAAACGCAAAAAACTTGCAGATCAGCACAATATGCGCGAATTTTACAATTCCACTGAAACATTTTATGGGCCAATCACTCGTGGAGCAGCCCCCCCCCCCCTCCGCTCATCCGACAGTAACTCCTTAATTAAAGACAAAGAAGGCATTCTTCAGCGTTGGAAAGAGCACAGCCATTTGCTGCTCAACCTCAACACCGTTGTGGATATCCTGACTTCCCAACAGGTCCCTCAGCATCCAGAGCTAACCCACCTCAGCTATCCTCCATCCCTGGATGAGGTTGCTACTGCCATCTAACAGATGAAAAATAACAAAGCCTCAGGGCCTGATGGAATGCCAACCGAGGTGTATAAAGCAGGAGGACCTCTGCTTAACAGCCATCTCCACTTTCTCCTGGAGAATATATGGGAAAAGGAGGAAATCCCTAAGCTCTTAAAGACGCCTCCATCGTCAATATTTATATGAACAAGGGAGACCGGTCAGACTGTGGCAACTACCGAGGGATCTCGCTGCTGTCATTAGCTGGCAAGATTATCGCCCGAATTCTCCTGAACAGACTTCTTCCTGAGGCCCAAAACTTCTTCCCAGAATCTCAATGTGGCCTTAGACCATCATGGGGTGCCACTGATATGATCTTTGCGATCCGACAGATACAAGAAAA